GCAGGTACCTTGAGTAGGAGCAGTTTTATTTAATCTTACAAGTTAGGAAGAGTATAAATTCTCTTGTTTTAGGTCAAAGCTAACAAAGAGTTATGCAGAAAGTCCTGGTTCCAGAGGTGAAAACTCTCAGTTCAGGTGTTTCTTGTACCTTTCTCTGAAGTGCCTGGTCTTGGCCATTGCTAAGCAATGACCAAGCACATTAATGTGCCTTTCTGGACGCTACTGGGACCTTTGTCCTTTTTCTTTAATGCAAAACAGCTCAATTTAAATGAAACCACCTATGCAAAGCAGCAGCTTAACATGGTGGGGATACTCATTCCCATCAGTTCTGGGCAGTGGTGGCACAGTGAAGAGTGTCCTCTACATGCCCAGTTCTGCTGGTCCAGTGTCCCCAGAACAGCTCCTTCTCTTGGCTGTAATACTGGTTTAAATCTGGCCTTTACTTGGTGTGAATTCTTCAAGCTGTGCTGGTCCAGAACTTAAATAATTTGCTTCTCTTTTTAGCATCATGTCTTTTAAAGGTGTTATATTTGTTTCCATTTAGCGTTAAATTAAAATTAAATGGTTCTGCTTTGTAGATGTAATAGTGTACAAATATATCTATTTTTAAATCCTTTTAGCCCATGTCTATGTGACTAAGAAAAAAGCAGCAGAGTAGGGGCCTCTGATTTTTGTTTTACTTGAATCAAACACCCTATTGGGATTTCAATTATAAGTGAATGTTACACTTGTTTGTTACTAAGGTGACTACAGTGTCAAGGTTATGTGGATATTGTAGTATTATAAATGCAGAAATAATGCAAAAAAGAAAAATAGTTGTGTTGGCTAAAACCATCTTATTCCTATAGCATAAAGTTGCACACTGTCCTACATTTCAATTCTTGTTCTATTAAATTACCTGTTTAATAATTTGAATCCAGTGTTATTTTTATATTATATTGCAAATGTGTGACTGTGAGGTTATTTTTAAGATATATTTATTAAGGGAATGAATACAATAAGACAAGTCATTGCAGCCCACATACAGTTCCTTGACTTCTCATTTTATGATGTTTCAATTGCATATGATTACCGAATATAAGTTTTAACTTTTATGGGGGTTCATTAGAGATGCAGCTGTGTAGAGAGAAATTCAATAGAATCTGATCATTTTTTTAAGCTCTAAAAGTGTAGTGAGATGGAGCAACTTGATGTAGCATAACTCAAACTTCTGACTTTGACCTAGGGTGCATAAATTGTGGGGTCTTCAAGGGCACAGCAGGGCTGCAGTGGAAATTTGCTGCTGATGGGGAGAGGAAGGGCACGAATACGAGGTCTGTGTGTTTGGGGTGTGGTAGATCAGAGCACCTCAAATGAAAGGCAGTGGCCTTTTTTTCAGGGTAGGACAAAGAGAAGAAGTGATGTCCTTGCTTGGGGCCAAGAATAGCATTAAATGCTTTTTGCTCCTGTGTGAGTCAACACTCTGGTGAAGAAATATGGTTTCAGTAAATCCATGGTGTTTTTCTTCTTAATAGAAAATTTAAGTAAAGTGAACTCCTCAAAAACTGATATTGAAAGCAATCTTAGCGAGCAAGTGCTGAGAAAACCACTTTTGGGGCACATTTAAAGGAATAGATGTAGTAAATGAGTAAATTTACCCTATGGTTAAATGCTGCAGTGCTTTGTGTGAATACTGAACAGGAATATATCCCATCAAATACAGTTTTTCCTTAATTTATTAGCATAATATGTTTGTTTTTAATGCATAGGAATGTAAACATTTAGAATGGAATGATGATATCTTTTAGCAAGAGGAACCCCTGTTCAAAACAATTAGTGCCATTAGCTGTTGGGGGAAAAGTTATTTCATGACACAGATGATTTCTTTCCAAACATCAACTCTCCAAAGGTTGCAAACCCAGGTCCAGAGAAAAGACATCCTTGTCTGGGCATGGGAGGGACTCAAGGGTGACTTGAATGCAAGACTTGAAAAAGCTCTTCTGTGTGATTAAAGCTGCACCTGGACCTCGTGTCCTTGCTTAGTTTAAGTATTTTCTGCTGCTTATGGCTTCTCCAAGTAGGGCCTTGTGGGGTGGAAAAGCTGTATTTGCCTAACCTCAGAGCAGAAAACACCTCAGCTTTATTGGGAAGTTGGTTCTTGCCTGTGGGGAGAAGAGAGGAGGGGAGGGCAGTGGCACTGGGGAGCCACGGGTGTGTTGTTTTCATCCTGCCCATGGAACACCATGCCCAGAGAAATGGTGTTCATGGGCCATGCCTCCTCCCACGGCAAGGGAAAACAGATGAAAAGCAATGAAGCACACAATTACATAATGAAAAACAATAAAATGCATTTTCTAATATGTACTACTAGTGACCAGATGACTTTATTAAAAAACTAAATGTGATTACGTTTCCAAGTATTGTGCTGTGTGATGAACTCCGGGGAAAAACTGACGAACAGCTGAGAAGGAGAAGACTTCTTGTTTAATATAAACCTCAGACTTTGAAGTGACACATAGCAGGGAATAAATGTCCATCATCTATCAAATGAGGTTTGAACGGTTTAGGTCACACTAGACAAACAGTTCTCACCCTAAAACCTTCTTTTCATCTTCATTCATCAACAACACCTTAAGCTTGTGCCCCTCTTTTTCTTTTCCACTCTCTCAAAAAACAATAATCTACTTGATGCCTACAAATCACTTCTGGCTGGCACTTGTTAGGCGAGTTATGAGCTGTGGCTGCTGCTGCTCCCTTCGGAGCTGCCTCCTGTGCAGGGAGAAGAGGGGGCTGGAGGTTTGGGAAGAGGCGGAGGAGGAGGAGGGAGAAGTGCTGCAGAATGGTGGCTCTAGACAAGGCAGGCAGGGAGCAGGCAGAGCTGAGTGAGGTAAGAGACACAGCTGGCAAGGAGGATTCCTGTATGGCAGATGACTTTCTTCAACTGGAGATGGGAACCAGTGGCTTTGCTGATGTTTTTGCTGTCTATGTAGCAAACTCCAAAACAGTTGGGTTTGGAGCCTTAAAACACAAAGGCAAACCTCTGTGTGCAGGCTGGGGAGGTTTGTTCTCTTCTGCAGAATCCTCAGGCTGCCCTGGTGGGTGCTAAAACCCAGAAGCTCATCTTCAGTTTGCTTTCTTAGTCTCAGACTAACTTAATCACTGTGCCTTTTGATTTCTTCCTGTTGCTTCCCATGATGTCCGTGGCTTGACTGTGCATGAGGTGCTCAAATCATATTTTCTAGTAGGAAACTACCTCTCTTACACTAATCCTTGTCCAATAGCTCCTAATTTTGATTCTTGGCCTTTCCCAACTTATGGGATGCCTCTTGGATTAGTTTCTCTGTGGCACAGTTTCCCCTCCCTGCACTGCTTTCTTGTTCCTTCCTCACTGGTTCTTTTTTCTTTCTAAGATACTTTTCTGACTCCATCCCCAACAGCCTGGAAGTGATTTGTGGAGCAGCTCAGTCCCCTGGTTTTCAGAGGCCACAGACTGTTTTTTCTTGTTTTCTGCCTTCCTCCTTTTTTTTTTTTTTCTGTGGTTCTGGAAAACAGTCTGGCAGGCACGGCTTCCTCACAGCCCCTGGCTGATGTTAATCCATGGGGCTGCAGGGGATGTGGGTAGCAGCAAAGATCTGTTTGAAGGCAGAATTTTGTATGGAAATTTCAGTAAGTCTGGCAAGGAGAGCTTGTTGGGAGGGCACAGACAGTCTAGGGGAGAGAAGTGAGCATTTTGATTGCAACATAAGTTGATTTTTTTTTTTTTCCCCCCATCTCCATTTTAAGCATTGTTTCATCTTTTACTAATGTGGGATTTGGATGGTGCCACCATCCATGGTGTTGTGGCCCAGCATCAGGGACCATGGTGGGGAGGTCTCTCACCTACCCAGCCCATCTCTGGCATCCTGGAGTCACTGTCCCATGCTCAGCACCCTCTGGCCATATTCTCAGGGGAGTTTTGGGTATCATTACTCTTTGAAATTCACCACAGTGATGTAAAATCTTCAGGGTATGGCTGGTGGTGGGCTGGGGGAGCTCCAGGTGGGACCAGGAAATCTGAAGCCTCATTAATGAGGGAAGGAGGATTCACCCATTTGTGGGAACTGGTCACACATCATGGAGTATCGCAAGGTAAGCCAATTTCCTACCCCAATACCTTCTTTTTCTCTTCTCTCCTTCGCAGTTTGAAAACCATAAATCACCTATTTGAAATGTATTTAAGGAGAAGAATATTTCCCCCTGAATTCCTCCTTAATGCTTGGTAGAGAGTACAGTTGGGATCATTCATGTGCTGTAGCAAGAGAAAAATTCTTCTTTGATACTGTGTCTTCATTTTAGACAGTTTCCTCTTTTACTCTGTTCTTAGATGATAATTCTCTGAGTCCTTAGATGCTGCTCATTCTGTCACAAAAAGAAAATGCAAAACAGGATATTTTAATATTAGTAATAATGAATGTTTACATGATTAGCTCAATTACTTTGTTCAGTTTGACATTTTGTCATTGTGGACCTGTCTTCCTCCCTCTTTTAAAGTGCGTTAGTAGTGATGGGAAGTGCAGGGGTGGGGCTGTGATCTGGGTCTTGCTGAGCATCTCTCTGGAAGGAACAGGGCTTCTTACCCCTTACAGCACCCACCACCTCAGGCAGACTTGCTAGCACATCTTGTCCTGGACTGCTAGGGACACTTATTTGAACCTCATTAAAATACAAGTCTTTGAGAAGTTTTATCCTAAAAATATGTATTTTGCCTATAAAATGAAAAAGATGGATCTTCCATGTGGCCCTTTTAAGTCTGCATGAGACTGGGTCATTCACTGGTCTAGAAATTCTCCTTTGTGAATCAACTCTGTGTTGTAAGGATAAGTGGTTCATCCAACCTGTAATTGCTGTTGTCTGACACATTTATTTTACAGGTTTTGGGTGTACGTAGTTAGGAAAAATATTGTTCTGCAAAGATGGTTTCTGGCCAAAAAGAAAAAGAGAGTTGTGGAGGTTCTGGTGATATTGGAAGAAAAACACCTCGGTGGGTTTTGTTCTTGGTGTTTTTACTAAAGAAGAAGCAGCAAGGATAACTGTGTTAGCAGCAGGGTGCCACTGCATGATCGAGAAGCTGAAGGAATGGCTCGTTTTCCTGTTATGTCACTGCTTTGGCTTTCTCATTCTTGTTCCTCTGTTTCTTCAGAAAGGCCCTGCAGCCTGCAGATAACTGAAATTAAATTAGTATTGATAAAACATTAGACACTCCTATTAATATTGACAGTCTGTCAATACTGTTGTGCTACTTTTGTAATACGGGATGTTAACGGATAATGCTTTAAATAAAAACACACTAATCTTATAATCACTGAACGTGTAGCGGGGTCTCGGCTCAGCTCATCCTCCCCTGAGCTCCCCCAGCCCTGCCTGCCAGCCCTGCCTGCCTCCAGCTCCCCTTGGAGCCCCCAGGGGTCGGGAATGTTGTTCCCTCTTGGCTCCATCCCACAGCTGGGGAGTTGGGGCGAGGCAGAGGGGATGGTGTTCAGGTGTAAAGCTGGGATGGGGATGGGAATCTCCCCATGGCTGGGAGGATGCTGGGGTTGGTTTCAAGAGCCGTGTGTCCGCTGCACACAGCTCTGGGGGGCTGTGGGTGAGTGCAGCCCTGACTGTGGGGCCGCTCCCAGAACAGTGGAGTTTTGGTCCTGTGGTTGCTCATGGTGTTTAATGGGGTGATGCTCTCCCTGGATGCCTGTGCCCACAAAGTTTGGGGCAGGAGGCAGCACAAGGATGACTTCAGGTTCTGATGCGAGGCAGCAAACCTCAATTCCCTGTTGGACCGTGCTGGCTGAGCGTGCAGAGGGTGAGAATACGTGAGGTCAAAGCAGTGCCCTTAATCTGTGGTTCTTGTCCTAATACTTAGCACATGTTAGCAGCTCCACATTTCATCTGAACTTTTTTTTTTTTCCTTTTAAGTCCATCATGAAAATCACTGTGTTCATCAGAGCTAAAGTTATTTGTTAAATGGCCTAAAAAATACGCATTAAACAATAATGATTACTTTGGTAAACACAGATGTCCTTGTATTATGCGGCGGGTTTTGTACACGAATTTGTACATGTCTGTGAAACTTGAATTTGCCATCTACCTTGAAAAATGGGAAGCACAGTCCACATTAATTGGTTCTCCCTGAGCCCCTCGCTCCACCTGCTGTGCTGCTGCAATCTCCTGGTGCAGTGCAGAAATCTGTGGTGCACGAGGACGGGCTCAGCCAGGTTGGCACTTGCAGATGTGTGCCCATCGTGGGAGGTAGCAGGCAGCAGTCTTAACTTCTGCCTCTTTGTTTCCCAACTCTGAGGATATTTTTAAAAGGGGGAGGGAAAACCCTTTATCTTGCTGAAAACCATCTAGTGATGATCAGTTATTCACCACATTATTAATGCTTATTTGGACGTTGCTTGGACTGCTGGGTTTAGCAGCTTCCCCGTTATGTATTGAATAAAATGAAATACATGTCACAACAGCGGTGCTATGATGCTGACAACCGTCCTTGGCTGTGCATCTCATTAGAGAGAGATACATTTTTCTTTGTTGTGTATCTGTGAATGACAGAAGTTGACAAACATCTCTTAAGAAGTTGCTGTTGGGAGAAAGTTACATTTATGGTGAAAAACCCAAGAAGAAACTACTTGTTATGAAGGTAAATAATTATTTCCCCACACTTGTGTTTCGTAAATTGCCCTCCTCTGTCACAGTCAGTACTTTTTACTTTGTTATTGCATATATGTTGAAGGAGGTCCTCCCCTGGATCCCTTGCTCTTGGAAAGAAATCTTGGAGGGTTCAAAGCTCAGTTTGTATTGAAACTTGGACTTAAAACAGGATGAAAATCTTCGTTTTTCACAGTTTTAAAGACTGAATTGGTTCTCTTATTGTAACAATGTACATTGATTCCCAGGGGACAGCTGAATTTTTCCATAATGTTTTTCTGAGGGCAAAGAGTATTAACTTGACAGAGGAAAGATACTCAGGAGGAGAACCACCAGGTAGGGGCCTGGTTGCTGTCAGCCAAAGAGTGAAGCTGTACTTGAAATCACCATATCTCAGATGCATGATATGTTTACATAATGCATCTCAGCCTGCATTTCTGCAGGTTGTTGGCACTGTCCACTCTCTGTGCCTGCCTGACTGCAGGGCAGGAGCAATGACTGCCTGCAGGGATGGTCTGCACGTGCTTAGGGATCTTTGGACCATCAGTGGGAGAGCTGAGGAGCAGCAAGAAGTCAGGATGATTTTTTTTTAAAGAATACTTTACAAAGTGAAGAATTGAGATGTTCACCATCCTGGTTAACATGGCTCCTACCTATTCATAATGAATCAGAAAAAAAGATGTTGCATATTCAGTTGTGTTTGCATGACTCCCTGGATTTCACAGGCGTTGTGTGAGTGCCAAGGCAGTGCTGTGTTGACCCACAGAAATCTGAGAACAGTTGAGAAACCAGTGGGAAGAGGCAAGTGTGGACGTGCAGAAGGGAGAAGAGGCAGGGAGGAAGCAGGCTGGAATCCTTTTTTCCTGCTGTCCCTCCACTTCCAATGTGTGATGGAGCAGTGGTCGTGCTGCCCTTTCCCAAAAACATCTGTGCTGCTGCAAGGAAGCTCTGCTGCTTCTGGGGTCAGTCCGTGATGCATGGTCTAGTTGGATTTTTTTCCTTTATTTTTCCATCTAGACCCATTCACCTTTCAGCATCCTGAAGCTGAGAACACATTCTCTGCAAGAAATTGTCATTTAGGGAAAAGTCTGTATTTGAGGAGTTCTCAGCTTACACTCACCCTTGTGTCTGAAATTGTTTTACTTCTGTTCCAAGTAACACCTAAAATTGCCACTTAACCTCGCAGGCACTTGGTTAAGTCTGTATTTTTGATTGCAGTAGCTGGGGTGGAGTTTCCTTTGGGAATTAAGGAGTAGGAAGTGTTGTTTGTAGTTTTTTGTTGGGGTTTTTGCTGACTGGTGCTAATGTGTAGGTGTGGATGTGCTGCTGTTTTTGTAATACTTTTATTGTTTATGGAATTGTTAGTTAATTGATGGTAACAATGCCTGGAGCCTGGGAGAGGTATTCTTTTATGTTTGCTCAGATCAGAACAAGTAAATAATTTTATAACTTAAAAAGAGATTCGAGATTATTCTTCTCAGTTTATTTACCTTGCAGGTTTGCATCAAGTATTTCCACAGCTTGTTATCAAATTTCCCCAAATTAATTAATTAGTATTACTTCTAACAAAAAAAACTGATGAGAAGAATGCTTTATTTTTATTTTTTTTTTAGGATTCAGTAGGATGTAGGTGGAGCCCCCCAGGATGGACCCAGGAGCTCAGGAGCAGGTGCTGCACCTGAACTTGCTCTAACCTAGTTGGTGTGGATGTGGTGAGGTCTCAAGTTGATTTGAAATAATTGCCATGTGAAAACTAGAAGGCAGTAGGGATTCTGATGGATGAAAATGCATTTTGGAACTCTGTTAATTGCTTCACGGTTTACTCAGACTAAAACCTACTTGGTGACTTTGTCTTCCACATTTATCCAATGAAATAAAATTCAAACCAGCCCACAAGCCAGAGAATGTTTTTTATTTATGTGCAGTGTAGTTCCATCTGGTCCACGTTAAGGACCCCAAAAATATATGTGATTAGCTTTATAGTTCACTGCTAAAGGTAGCAAAGCTGGCTTTAAACATCTTTCCCATTTTCAGCTTGCATCTCAAAACATTTGCTGGCATTTCCTGACTATGATTACCAACCAAAGATTTTCCTGGTTGTCTTTTCACTTTTAAAAGTATGTTTCATAGTTTCCCTGCTTAAAATATCACTGAAGCCTCTGCTGTTCCCTTTATAACTCTTATGCTAAGTATCCATCTTTGTGAAGACTGGTCAGTCCAAACCCCAAAGCTCAGTGTTAGGAAATGTCAGATAACATACACAATTAAAGTAGTAAAATTTATAACTATCACCAGCTCTGAGCTCATGCTCAATAAAATGAAATGCCATGTATTAGAAATAATACAAAAGGTGAGCTGTGCTGCTTCACAACAGTTAAGGTGAGGATTTAATGTAATTGCCAAAAGCCACCTCAGAAATGCCCATGGAGTGCGCAAAGAAGGCTTAACATCATCAGCTCACCCCACTTTAAATTTTTGGTGCTGGCCAATCAAAGCCCTGTATTTCCACTAACCAAGTGGCTGAGACCTTGAAGAGATAGAAGAAATATCTTTATTGCTCTTAAGCCAAATTGTCTTCTTTTGCATCGCTGCTGTAACAAATCCATGTTTATATTTGGAGTTACTCCATGCTGGAAAACATCACAATTCTTGAGTGGTTTGGTGCAGCCCCAGCACTACCACAACCCCCCAAAAAAGGCTCAGAACCCCAAATTTATGCACTGTCAAGTTTTTTCTGCCTGTGCCATATTTGCTTTTGTAAAACTTGGAGCTGAAGTGGAGAACTGCTGCTGGTTTTGCTGCAGCATGTCCTAAACACCACCGTGGCACAAGGTTCTGTGGCTGCCTGTTTCTGAAATACAATTTGAGCTAGAATTCTAGCAGCTGCAGGGCTCAGAGCTCATTCAGCAAACCCATGCTATCAGCAGGCTCTAAGGGCCTAGAAAACCACCCAGTTCTCTGCAGAGACACAGCAGACCAGCAACCTGAACCAGGTTTACTTCACCTTGATCTGCTGATGGAGACAAGACCTAAGCATGAGATGTGGACATCACTCTCCATCCCCTTAATTAGCAGACAGTGCTCCAGTACCTACCACACAGCCTGGAGAATATGTTCCATGTGCAGTTACCCCTGTGCATGGGGGTAATTTGGGGAATTTTCCCTAAAAGTTCAGTATTTAGACCTTGAGGAGATAGGCTCTTAACCTCAAGAATGTCCAGAAGTGCATAGCAAGAAGTGCCAAGGATTTTCAGGAGTTGAGCTGGAGGTGTTGTTTGAAGTTAACCATATTTTATTTTCTCAAACCCTTTCTTGGGACTTAATTTATATAGCGCTGTGATGGGCATGTATAAACATTGTGATCAGGTTACAGTATGAGTGAAATAGGTAGACTCGTTTTCTTTTTCTTTTCTCACTATAAAAATGTAAGAAATTCAATTGCTTACCCCATAAAATGCACATTTCTGCTACAGATTAGTCATATTTTAATGAGGCTGTTACTTATACAGTAGTACATTAGCAAAGTGTGCTTTGATTTTTATGTAGCCAATGTTTACGCACTGGTTCAGAGAGGCCTGACTGTTATTCCCCCCTGATTCCTAAGATGGGATATTTGGGTTGAAAAGCTGTCTATATGAGATTGGGACATTTCTGGGTTACACACAGGTGCCAATAATTCAGGGAATGGGTCCAGGCTCGGGACCCTAAAAGCTGCATCTGAGCAGCTCCACAGCAGCAAGGTGGGGGCTGTCCCCAAGCTGCTGGGTGCAGGAGCCAAATCCTGCACAGAGCTGGGGTGTAAAGAGATTTTCTAAGTTTCTGGCTCCCTTTTATTGCACCTTCTCTGGAAGAATCATCAGTGAAGCGGAGCAGAAAGCCCGGCAGCGGGATGAAGACATCCTCTGTCCATCTCTGCCTGTGAAGCTGAACTGAAGCCTTCCTGCGCTGCTTAAAATTGTGATTTTGGATAAAAGGCTGTGTAATAACTTGAGAAATGTGTGAGAAGATCTCGTGTTAATACTGTATAAACCTTCTTTAACTTCAGGAAGCTTAAAATCAAATTTGGCAGAGCTTACAAGGGCAGTGAATATGGAGCCACTCGACTCTGGTAACCGAGAGAATTGGCTGACAAACCTGCAGTATTTTGATTTTTTTTTTTTTTTTTTTTTTTTTTTTTTTTTTTTTTTTTTTTATAATGCTCTTTGCATTTTTGAAAGTATTTACTTGTGTGTACATATAATATTTGACTTTACCTATATGTTAAAATTTAAGTCCAGTGTCTGTGCAAAGATTTTCCCATTTCTTTGGGGAAATGGAATGAGGAGAGTATTACAGTGCAATTTAGATTCCCTGGGTTTCAGGTTTTTTTAAAAAAAAGAGGTAATAAGGGAGGTTAATTGTGGAACTAGGAGGCTCCACTGACTCATCTTCTGAATAAAGAAATTCAGATGTGTTGTGACCTCAAGAAAGTGAATTTTTAGAGCAGTTGAAGTTAGAAATCTGGGATAAATTCGGGTATTTGAAAGTCATGGTAACAACCATTTGTAAGAGCGTATCATGCTCTATAGTAAGATTGCATAAGGGCACAGGAGGAAGCATCTGATTTTTTACATTTTTTTTTTTCCCTTTTGGCATTCTGTTTGTGACAATTACATGACTCTCTATTAACTGTGTGTGGAAGAAAGCAGTGTTATGAAATGAGGAGAGATTTCCTTCATCTGTTACTCTCTAGGTAATTTTTGTGCTTTTTCCAGTATTTAAGTACCTCTTAACTGCTTGCTGTCCATCTGTATACCATTCATAGTACTGT